TCAACCTCAACTAGTTGCCATTGCCCTGAGTTCAAGGCATATCCTTTGGGGACACGAAGAGCTCTTAAGACTAGGCTGGAGTTGGAGGTTTGAACCCATCATTGAGTGTCCTCATTGGCTCTGCTACGCAACGAAGAAAATAAGTAATCAGACGTTCAGTGAAGCTCACAACTTCGATTGGGGCTTTCCGAATGATACGGTCATAATAAAACAAGGTTCAACTAGATTTCCATAAAGGAAACTACTCACAAGGTTGCAGAAAACTCTTCGACAGCCCACAACCGGTTTCACCCTTCTTGGGGTTCGTCATGTAGGCGCAGTCTTTGAGTTTCCGTCAACCTTATGTTCAAGTAGCTTCGACTCAGTTACCATGGGATACAGTTTTACGAGAGCTCCACGTGGCTTCGGAGCAACGCTGTCCTAACACCACGTCCAGTTGCCGGGCTCCGTGGGACCCTTGACGTCCTTCAACTGTCTTAAGTCTAACATGTTACTTCAGAGGAAAAACTTAGCCTTGTATTCGTGGTTTTTGATGAGCTCTCCTTAAAATCGAAACCTGTTCAATACCAAATTGAAAACTCAAAGCCGATTATCGCTGAGTACTACATAGAATAATTTGGTATAAAAAATTCAGAAGTATTTTTGTCGCGTGGATTCCATCATAGACAACAATTAACTGTGTCCCATATCGTGGATGCATTTGTCAGTAACTGATAATAACGGTTAAGAACAATAAATCTTGAACTTCAAAGCATCATTTTTTCAGTGCGTGAATACTGTTTATATCAACAGAGACTGAGGTTCAGTTATCACTCCAAAGATGAATGATTTCGGGATCTCTTCCGAAATTCCGACCCAAGCTTACGCAACAGTCCAGTGATATGAAGACTCGCCAGTTATTTCAAACAGCCTCTCGCAGCAAGAGTTTGTAAGTGAATTACTTCGACAAACCTCACCACCTGTCTGTGTGTGAATACATGCTATGCGGTTTGATAACGCGCTTACTGAGGAAATCATCTGCAAGAATGCCACAACTTTGCTCTTCTTGTCTTTGATTATAAGCACGACTAGGTGTACAGGGACCATACAAATCTTCAGGACAGTTAGTAGTGTGGTCTTTCTAATCGATGAATTGTATTTCCAGAACGAGTGTTTCCTTGGATATTTGTCCCCGATATCCAGCTCCGATGCGGATGGGCGCGGAGTGACTGTGTGGAATGAAAAGAAGCAGATGTATGGCGCTGATGAATATCCCCTCGCCATAATCTCAGCCCCACATGCCATTGGTTGTGATGTCGACTTTTTGGTCCACCAACCGATGATCATCTCTTATCGAGGGATCTGCTTTCCTCAATTTGCTACGGCTGTTATTGGACTGAGATTTCCCAAGATTACAGTCAGTGATTTATGTTTGCTTGCCATTGTGAGATCTCTGGGTACTTGGGACACCTTTATGCGTGGCACATGGCGATGAGTATACATTTTTGACATCTCTCACATTAAACGCAGTATGACGGACACTTTGTGCCTGATGTGCGAGTCTTTACTGTGCTAGAGCCTACCGCGCCTTGTCTTTACACGCGTGTTTGCATACCAGAAATTCTTACATACTTTGGGATCCCTTTTATCTGACTGGAAACGTTACCGGCATGACTTCGAATGAGATGTTTCTCTATTTTATCTCATATTCTCCCTTCGCATTAATCGATTGCATTCAATTTTTATGTCTGTGACCATCCTCTTCAGAAATAAACGATAATAGTAGTATGCAAATCTGTTGAAATGGTATTCAGCACATAGCCGCTCGACTAATGGGTAATCAAAGCCACACAAGTCTATCTAATTTGCCCGAAAGTTCAGGTAACCTCATTCGCCTGTCACTTGCTTGTCCCGAACTTGCCAAACCTACCGTCTGTCAGAGTCCAGTTCACAGCTATGCACAACATCAGAAGCCTTATCGCATTACTAAGTAACCTGAAATGAGAAAAAAAATTATGCTATTGCTCCAAGGTCATCAGGAAAACTGAAGCCTACACTAGCTGTATAACCGATTTAAAGGTTAAACCACGCAGATTCGAAACCCTCGCATCCTCGTTAGACTCCTACTGCTGACGATTCTCACTGAGGAAAAAACGTGCACAGCATAGACTGGTTTTACTGACAGAACGAACTCCCTCTTGAAAATCAACCGACCAATGGTAAGCGGAACGTTTTGTCTGATTACGAATCTGTCCTTGAGGAAGGCATACTGGTTACCCATGGGCTTGGAACTGCACCAAGCTGCTACTCGAGGCCTTTTGCCTTTACTGAAACTCATCAAGTAAAAATGAAAGAGGGATTTCCAGTTGACTACATTTTACTGGGTTTGTGGATCAGAAGTCCTCAGGGGGTTACACTTGTCTTCCTGTTCCGGTCTCGCTGTTATTTAATTCAGCGGACCAGATAGATTTAGGGAGAATCAGCGAGCCCCACCGGTAAAAAAAATAACCATCAAGGTGGAAACAAGCCATAAGTACAATCTACCCAATCTACCCAACTAAATTTCTTGAGTATGTTCAGTTGAAGTTAGAGCTTCTGTACGAATGAGTTCATCGGTCGTCGCAGGATAGGTGTATTCTCTCACAGGTACGTACCAAGGTGTGTCGAAGTGATTGACACACACAACGCCTTTCGCTAAGACGAGCCGAACAAGACAGCCATCGATTTCGCGGATCACTTACATGCACTTCTCAGTAAGGAGTATCCTCTGTACTCTGTCTATAAAGATCGAAGTATGCGCATCGATTTTTCTAACACATATGGGCAACTGTAAGGCCGAAATCTTCTTCGTGTTATCGGTTGTTGGAAGGTTGTTCAGTACCATTGCCAACCGGATAACGGAAGAGCAATGAATCACTGGTGCAAAACCGACTTTTAATGCGAAATGTACTCATTTGCAAACAAATTTGGCTTTTCGAGGGAGACTCACCTGGAACTCGAAAACCGGGCTCTCGAAGAATATTCAGCAACTTTATGAGTAGTGCATTGAAACATTTAATACGTTTAAAATTACACCAATTGCAAAATAAAATCACTTCGGCTGATCGACACCAATCATCCAGTTCTAAACCAAAATAAGTAATCAGTAATGTGTAAAAATCAGTAATGCACTGAGAATGGAACGAAACAATACGAACTGGAAAAGCGGGATGCATACAACTTTCACAAACTTGTTGATGATTGGAGCATAACGTTTTTATTGTTTTTACCACAGTAAATCAAATCAGAAAAATTTGCCGCGCACTATAAAGCGGCGCAGTTAAAGAACAGCAAATCTATTTGGACCGCATCCAGATAAATACTGAAACTGAATTGGTTATTTTGTGGTTATTCGATCCAGTCTGATGTGGATATTTTCCTATCTCTGTCAGCCGATGAGATATTCTACTTACATGCGTTATCGGTAGTGCAGATGTTGTGGGTCGGATTAAGTCATTGAAACTGAGTACTCTGTCATGGTTCAACGAAACGGGACAAAATAAATTATGCGAAACTTATCGCCCATCCGAATTCGGTCGTTCAGTTTAGCCTCTTCTAATAGAATAATCAACATTTTGAGAGACTTGAAAAAAGGTCGAATTCTATTGAATTCGAGTTTTTTCCCTCACTTGCCCATGGTTTCTGACATAACCCTGTGGAAATCCCTTATGCTGATGTCTTGTTAGTAGTGGGCTTACCGTAATATTGCTAAACAGACCGCATTACTCACAGGTCAGAAGGCATGGGCTTCCATTCCACTGGGCTGGAACTTCAGTGGTTATAAATACCAAAGGAATTTGTGAAGAGATATTTGGCTGATGTTTAGAACCTGGTAGCCACTGACGCATATGTGTGACATTCTCGGATTCCAGGGCACCATGTTTGATGTAGTAGCTACCTGTTTTTCTGACGTCTCCCCCTCCTCTTGCCAAGATTCTGTTCCTTGCATAAACCGGTCGGTTTTGTGTACCGCTAGGGACGGGCTTTGAAATAGAACACCAGCGTTTTTGGAGGGAGAAATATGTATACTTGTGGTCATTTTCCGGTAGCATGATCAAACTTTTTCACGGTGGAATTTGTGCGTGCACTCGCACGAAATGCTCAAAAGTTTGCCTTGGTTTTTGTCTTCTTCAAAAGGCCTGGGAGCATGTCATTCTGAATGCTGGGGGTCCTCCGCGAATTGGCTTATTGTTGATTTGGGATTGCTGTTTAACCTAAAATAACATTTCAAAGGTCTTCAAACCTCAGCTTTTGGTCTTCCTCGCGAAACCCATTTCAGGCACTAGTGTGTTGTGTGTTGTTCAAAACCATAAGAACCTTTCTGAAATGAACGTTCCTATACAAACAGAAACAGATGCTCTCATTTGCAAACAATTCGGTTTTACTGACGCATATGTGTGACATTCTCGGATTCCAGGGCACCATGTTTGATGTAGTAGCTACCTGTTTTTCTGACGTCTCCCCCTCCTCTTGCCAAGATTCTGTTCCTTGCATAAACCGGTCGGTTTTGTGTACCGCTAGGGACGGGCTTTGAAATAGAACACCAGCGTTTTTGGAGGGAGAAATATGTATACTTGTGGTCATTTTCTGGTAGCATGATCAAACTTTTTCACGGTGGAATTTGTGCGTGCACTCGCACGAAATGCTCAAAAGTTTGCCTTGGTTTTTGTCTTCTTCAAAAGGCCTGGGAGCATGTCATTCTGAATGCTGGGGGTCCTCCGCGAATTGGCTTATTGTTGATTTGGGATTGCTGTTTAACCTAAAATAACATTTCAAAGGTCTTCAAACCTCAGCTTTTGGTCTTCCTCGCGAAACCCATTTCAGGCACTAGTGTGTTGTGTGTTGTTCAAAACCATAAGAACCTTTCTGAAATGAACGTTCCTATACAAACAGAAACAAATGCTCTCATTTGCAAACAAATTCGGTTTTGCGAGAGACTCACCCAGCTGAATCTCTTGTTTGTGTTGTTTCCAGGAAACTGAATGTGCCGCATTAGGCCGCCTCATGTTTCAGTCTCTACGATATTCGAAATATTGCGATACATGTATAGACGTAATACAATATTCATAAGGTTTCTGAAAATTCTTCGGCAGTCCCCGACCGGTTTCCCTCTTCATGGGGCTCATCGGGTAGGCGCATTCCCCTGGAAACATCACAAACGAGAGATTCAGCTGGATTCCAGGTGAGTCTCTCGAAAAAAACCAAATTAGTTTGCAAATGAGTGTATTTCGCCAATTTCGTGTAATTTGGTTTCAAGTGGAACATAAGGTTGACGGAAAGTCGGGAACTGGGCCTACGCGACGAGCCACAAGAAGGCCAAAACAAGTCATGGGCTGTCGAACATCTGTCAGCAACCTTATGAACAGTGCATTACGAAAACCGGATGCCTTTGTTCTGAATGTAACTCGTCAACTTGTTGTTTTCAGAATAGTCAGAATGTTCATCTAACTTCATTTTCATCAGCTCGGGATTCTGCTAAGTAAAAGTGCAAAAGACTCGATTTTATCAAATTTTCCCAGGAAACATGTTGTCATGATCTGGAAATTGGTTGTTGATCAGGTGTGGCTGTTGATCTGTTCGCCGAGCTTGGCAGTTGACTTGCAAACGCTTCGTCACCATACAAGCAGACATCGTCAATGTGCAGTTGGGTCAACTGCTCCCTGATGATGGTGAAGAAGCGTTTGCAATTCTGCAGAAGAACATCATAAACGAGAGATTCATTTGATTCTCCTGTGAAAACCAAGTTTAGTTGCAAGTGTATGTATGTGTCAAGATCAGGACTTTCTCTTCGTGACTCAGTCGGCGCTCGTATTCAGCTCACGATGGGACTTCACACCTGGTATTAGCTGGAGTTGTGTCAACTGAAACTCGTGCGTGTCTATTTCGCGAAGACAGAATAGTGCATCATAGTAACATCATCAAAGTATAGTCTGGTGAGATGTCCACTTCCCTTGCACATTGAAAAAATCGTTCAGCTGTAGCACCCCCTCAAAGCCTAGTTGCCACATCACCCAGAGGAATCACAAGAGCTGGGATGCTGACAGGCTGGTCAAGCCCAGACAAGGGAAGTCGAGAGACAGAGGTCAGGCTCGAACCACTAACCTTCTATTCTGTATATTCGCGCTCCATCCACTGAGCTATCTCACCCCATTAATAATAATAGCATAACAATAGTTGATTTTTGCACTCAGTTCTGGTTGCACTTTTTGGCCAATATGTAAAAAAGCAGTACGAATTCAGTTTTTTTACGCATGTGATCGTCACACACACATGTAAAATTTCCGGAAAATATCTCGAAATCCAGAAGAGATTTGGGCGAAGTCTCAGTAGATAAAAGATCTGCAGAAAAGCATATGGTTTTGGTAGCTCATTTTGGCAAAGATGAAAAGAACCTTCGAGAATTGTGTTACCCAGATCTAAAATGGACTCATGTTGACCTATCGGGCATTTTAGTAGTACAACAGTGGATATGTCATCAGAGGGTAGCAATCGTTCGTAACTTCTGAGGCCGAGAAATCCAGTCACAAAGACCACGTTTGAACAGTACAATACTGAGTCAGACAGATGAATGAAGAAAATACGGTGAGTAATAAAATGGAAATGTGCACTGGAAAATGTATCTTCCGCACTTGTTAAGATCCTGAAGATGTGAACTCGGATGTATTTGGCACACTTCATTTGGACTTATGCGCAATCATTATACACCTGGTGAAAGAACGAATGGCTTGCAAATTATTCGTGGATGTAAAAGGCGCATTCGGTAGGGCTTAAACTGAAGAAACCGTGGTCGTTGGCTTGTTCGCTGAGCTGGGCAATTTGGTTGCAAACGTTTCATCACCAATCGAGGTGACATCATCAGTGCGTAGTTGTGCGTAGCGTTGTGCGTAACCCACCGCTACGCACAACTACGCACTGATGATGTCACCTCGATTGGTGATGAAACGTTTGCAACCAAATTGCCCAGCTCAGCGAACAAGCCAACGACCATCTACGCCACCTGAGCTACCGACATTCTCCTTTATGAAGAAACCGTGTTGCAAACAAGGTTAGAATCGGCGTAGATCCAAGTTGAGTCGAAGAACAGGTTCTGCTAGCCTCCACATTCTGGGCATTACTGATCATTTACTACGGTCAGTTATTTACTACGATGTTTGGGTCATCAGAATATGATGAGCAAATATGACACCAGGACTACCTGAGGTACGTCAAAGTCGCTTGTATAAGCGATTGATGTTTTTGTACCAGTGTGTACATACCATTGACAATCGGTGAACAGCCATACGGGAGCGATAGAATGGTCCATACAGTTCGGCTTTAGAAAGCTTCGGTCAAGTGACTCATGAACTTCACTACAGCCAATAAAACGGGTGAGAACAAATTTGAATCTGCCGTACAGAGCACTCCACAGCAATCTGGCTTAGTTTAAACTGCAATCGATTTGGGTCAAACCAAGTGGTTTCAACATGAAAATCATTTTTCAAGCTGACGGCCGAACCCCTTAGATATTCGTGTGTGCATACCAACGAAGAATTTTTCATTAATTTAAAAATTGACAAAATAGCTTCAAAATGATACTACTGTCAGCGTCAATGTTTTTGGACACAATGCACATCTTACCTCGGAAACGACCAACCCAACGTGCTGCTCCCTTACCAATCACAGAGCTCGAGATAGGATGTGAATCTCGACATCTCCTCTGTGTTTGGCTGGCTATTGGCTTGGCTATTGGCGAGAATAAAGACCCGGTTATGGCTGTTCTGGTTTTAGTGATCAACCCATTCGCCTTCCTGGACACCCTGTTCATCCACTGACCAGATGAAAAATATTTAATTGATTTTGGAATTTTAGGCATTTTGCAATTTGATTTACCAAGAACTTCGGCCGAATTGCGTTTTCCCGGAATTCGGTAAACTGACGTGACTAACAGGAAGTGATGCACAAAACAGTTTGCTGACTGACGGTTAAGACGCACTATCTGTGTAATATCTGCCTCGTTCCAAGAATTCTCATTGGTTGGCCAGGCCAGGATAATGAAACAAGTCATTCTCAACCCTCTTGCTAACCACAATTCGTTAACGGAGTCTGATGTTGCAGACTACATGGTAATCAACTTATCTTCAACCTCGGTTATTCGAAGCGGATGAGTTTCATCGACGCCAGTGTATTCCCAGCAAATCTCTACTGACTGATATAATAGACCAATAGCTCTTCTCAATTGGAGTTACCAAAACCGGTGCTTCCGGCGGTCAGTTGATTCAGTTACACCACGTTACTTGATAAAAGTTGACTGTCGGCGAGCCTCATGCATCCACAATTTGCACTCAAAGCCTTCAGGTCCCCTGTCCATGATGTGTAGCCTTGAAGCAAAGTTTATATCCTATATTCGTTTAATCAACAAATGCTCACAAAATTTTATCCGTCCGTTTGTTTCCCTTTCCGTACTTGAATGTCGTTGCAAACCCGCACTGGTGCTGACTAACGGATGAACGAATACGAAAACCATAACTTAAAGCCATCAAAAGTCACTCGGTTGGTGGACTGTTGACTAAACCCCTATGTATTTAGATTTTTCCTGCATCCGCCTTTTTTCTGGAGGTCATGTAGTCGATCCGTTCGATTTGGCCATCTTTTCTACTCATGCCAGAAAGCGGACAATTCTGTGCCCGCATATCGATCACAAGAATGTAACTTTGACACAGATCGTGGGTAATAGACAATATACCGAGTAGATTGCGGACCCCAGGACCCCAACATCCTCACCAGTCCAGTTTGTTTATGCCTGTCCCAATTCACAGTTCCACACATCCTCACAGGCGTCGTAAATTGTTTTTGTGGTGAGAAGTTACCTAGTACGAGTTGCCAGCGGGGGGTGGTCGAGATCTAACCTCAAATCGGCCATTTGAGAAATACGCAGTCCCTGACCGCTTTAATTCCACCAGTATATTGCGATCTTGTATTGAGCCAGCACGGGTTTGGTTGGACAGTGTCACTGACAAAGTAGAATATTCACGCTTCACCCAGGATAAAATGCTTTCATAGCTATTTTATTATCTCCTGGACTGTTGCCTAACCAGAATGAAAACAAAACTTTCGACCACTCTGAAATCGACATCGAACTGACAGTGAAGAGGAATGACGCAAACGGCACTTGGAAATATTGCGTATCGTCATGACAGCGTGACAAGCGTAATAGCTCAATTCGCGATAAACACCGGGACGAGATCAAATTAGATGTTCGACGTCCGGACTTCGAACGCAAAGGGGTACAATTATCCAAGGACTAGATCTGAAGCCGATTGAGAAGTCATCGTTTCAGAAGAGTTTGGTAAACGATCAGTAGTTTCTAATTAGGTAACATATCGATTTTGATTAAAAAAAAAGGTTCGGCCCGATGAAATTTTCATGTCAAAGACGAAACGTTGACCAGTTAAAAACTACCGATTGTTTAACAAGCCCTTCTGAAACAGCAGTAATGGTGTTTTTCCTTGAATGCAAAATTAACATCTGAGGTATATAAGGGATGAAAATATCTTGTATTACTTTTTGGTGATTGCCAGGTTTGTCGATTTCACGTCGTACGCCCGTGCTAGCGAAATCACTCTGGTGAGTCCACACCAAAGTGAGTAACCAGTGAACTCGAGTTTCTCTCTTATTAGAGCCCACCAGCAAGGCTCAACCTTGGTCGTTTTTTCCAGGTTTCGAAAAAAATTGTTGTAACAGACATCCGCCGAAGTTTTCGATATTACCATTTGTCACAGAGTGAGAAAACACCTTGAATTGTCAAATGAATCGAAATCCAGGTGGAAAAATCCTGTTTTAATGACGCTTTGAAGATTCTGTGATATTTTTATAAAAGAAACTACTCACAAGGTTGCTGAGTTGCAGCCTCACACTCTTCTTCAACTTTCATCGATATTCATGGACGAACGCTGCAAAGCAATTCCGCAGGTTCCGTAATAAACCTCACGAGGTGCACATTCCATTAGACGCGAGGCGGTGTTAAGAGAAATCTACATACTACTCAGTAGTATCTTCCGTTACATCAGAAGCAGGCATTTTAAGCTTCGTGTTAGTGAACAACCTACGGGTAGACAGTACAGAAATTCCCATGTGGAATAAGATCAAACACGTGATTCCCGATAATTTTTTTTGGGGAATGTATGAACGAGAGGAACCTCAGAAATTCCCATGTGGAATAAGATCAAACACATGATTCCCGATAATTTTTTTGGGGAATGTATGAACGGAGAGGAATCTCAGACGTTTTGACCACCGTCAAATGGAGGAACCCATTTACACTAGGCTTTCGTTTAAAAGTGATATATTGAACAATCTACTGAACAGATTTTACGCTAACCTAAGCGAAGTTTTCCCCACAGCAACACTTCCAAACTGGTTTGAAATCAAACATCCGTGTTCCTTCAGTCTGGAGGATACAGTGCCTGTGCAAGTCGAAAATACCCTGGAATACTCCCAGAAGAGTGACTAACTGGTCGATCATGCTACACCTAGCAGACACAGCGCACAGCTTGATGCCGAACCGAAGTTCCCGTATTGTTTACAGCGAGTCTGTTGATCCATCTCGATGGGTGCAGTACAGCATAGCCGCAGTGGTTATCGCCACCCGACGTTGTTTGTTGGCAAAGTCGCTTTGTTCATGTGTTGGACTTATCATAGTCCACCCCGTTCCCCGCACACACGTCCATTGCTGAACACACAACCAAAACACAGCCCGTACTGACAACCACAGGTCATCCTATTAGTGACTTGAACTAAATGCTTCTTGGCAGATAGCCAATACAACTTTCTTCCTTTTTCATGTCCACTGTAATCAACAGACTGTTAAATAAAGCTGTCTTAACTATTACTGCTACTACTGTATGACTTGAAAAGTTGCCAAAAACAATGTCTAGACGTAACACACCATACTGAAGACTCTTCGGCAATAAACCATCGGTTTTGCTGTCGAGTGTCGCACAAACTGAAGTATGTATAGCCATTCAGTTGAAGGAGACTATTATAAACTAGCGACTTGGATGGATTCAGTTGTCACTCCTTTTTCATGTCCACTGTAATCAACAGACTGTTAAATAAAGCTGTCTTAACTATTACTGCTACTACTGTATGACTTGAAAAGTTGCCAAAAACAATGTCTAGACGTAACACACCATGCTGAAGACTCTTCGGCGATCAACTGTCGGTTTCGCTGTCGAGTGTCGCACAAACTGAAGTATGTATAGTACATTCAGTTGAAGGGGACTATTATAAACTAGCGACTCGGATGGATTCAGTTGTCACCCGCCAAAACTAAATTAATGTAAAAAAAATGATAGAAATTGGCGAATGCTGGAAACATTTTCGCAGCGAAATTTAAATTACGTAAGGCGCCCATTCGCATCCGATAGTTTACCACTCATTGCGGACCGGAGCTTGTGAAACCGCTTTATTCAACCTGCATAAAGCGAAACGAGGATCACCGCCGAGGTACTCAAGAAGTTTCTCACAACCTCAGCTTATCTTGGCTCGCAGGGACAAACGTGTTAGAATAAACAGTCTTATCACACATAAACCAGAAGAGCTAACACCCACCCTATGCAGAAAAACTTGCCAGAAATTCAGACATTATCCAGACTGAAACGAATTGTGTCTTATTGGTAGTGTGAGGAGATTTGGGATTTTTGTGGAGATTTCGTCCTGTAAGTGAAGCCATTCTATGCTGAAAAGCCGAGAAGCACTGTACAGCCGTTTCATCCTTATTGGGAATCACCAACAGTGCGCATCTCACGAAACTCCGATGAGTCTCGAACCCGCGACCTCTTGGCTAGTAGTTCTAACACTTAACCGTTTGGCCACAAGTGGCTGATCAGCAGTGTGATTGACTCGCATTCAGGCAGGATATAGCGCCGCTCATCCTTCAATCACGGGATCCACATCACGCGATCACACGTGTTGACTGGATCCTCGAGCAACGACTTCTCAGATAGAAGTTACACTCATCGGGTGAAGTTTATTCAGATCCGATAAAGAAACCGCCGTTCTAGAAGAGCTTGGGCAACTACTGATGATGGCTTGCGTTCTCAAAACTTTCAGTTTAATCTTCCGACTGGGACTGTGAAGCTCTAACTCACACGTTTTGGTTTAGATTAAGGGGATCTGAACGCGCATCGGTTCTTGATCCATCAGTCTTCTTGCGCGCCCCAAACGGTGCTTGTACACAACGACTTTAGTTTCCACTTTTTGAGTACAGCTTATGTGCGAGATGGCCTTTTTAAATTAAATCATCTTTATTCCACTGATTTTACACAAAAGCCTGCCGTTTCTTCCTGTTTCCATTTTTATTCTAAATCCTAGTTTCGTTCAGGTACATCTTTGAATATTTGGCATGCTGTCCTCTCTCGCTGTCTCTGTAACCAAACGGATTCAATTTGCTGGAGAAAGTTGAAACTGCTTGCCGCTACTGCAACACTAAGTTGCAAGCTTTCTGTCACACGGTGGCACTCGTCACTCTGTCTCATGAAAGTATGCGTAATTCCCCACCCCTCGCCTCAGCTCATTTGGGATTGAGCATGTTTACGTTTGCACGAACATTAAGTGGGTTGGTGTGAAAACGGATCACTAGGCGGCTGCTTTTCAGTTGTTCTAACAAGAAGCAGGCCGTTTGTTCTGCGGGAAACGAACTAAAGCCATTAACAACGTATTCTGTGCCTCCATCTGACAAAGGCTGGCAGCCTCCGTTTGCTAATAATCTGTAGGAAAAACCTTTACTTTCTACGTTATATTTCAAACCCCAGCGCCGTTTTTTTCGATTGCGTAAACTGTTCCTTCAAAACTCCGTTTTCTCTCCGCTCGCTTACTTTAGCGAAGTGCTCACTTATACTCGATATATTTGGACAGTTGTAGGGAATACCTTTAAAGCCACCTCACGACCCAACCAAATGCCGTTTTTCACGCGATACCATGCAAGGGAATTCGGTTACCCAGCCGGTCGACGCCTTACTTATCCGATAAGTACGTATCACTTGATGACCAGTAGGAAATACTCAGGCGTTTTTATGTGCATCACAACTTCATTACGCCACGTGAAAAAATAACTTCCCAAGCTGAGGACAATACTAGAAAGTTCGTTCCGATCACACAAATTTGATGGGTTTCACCAGTAATGAACATCTAACAAATACTAGAGCAACCCGTGCCACTGCTTTCTGAAAACATGACTCGGTTCCAACTGGTTTTTCACCAACGGTTCGCTTTGACTATGCACAAAACAATCGTTTCGTTCAGCGCACCTGTAGCATTAATCGAAGTTCTCCTTCCAGGGTGGCATACTTCGGTTTTTTTACACCACATCGCACTGCAAGTAGAACTTCGTCATCTGCCGTTATTCGCTCCGCGTACAGTTTGAAAAATACCGACAGAGACGAGCAGATCGATTAGCATTGAACAAGACCTGTGAGATCAGAGCCATCTGGTTTGCGTGAGATGTTCTTATTTTAGCGCTGTTCCTGCCAAGTTACGACTTCAGTATTTGATGATAACGTCCCATCATTGTTCTTCGGGATCTTGGGCGGTAAAAGGCTTCCCCAAATCAGGATATTGGAAACTCCATTCAGATGGATAACCAACAAACAACAGGAGGAAATGCTCCTGGGTATTACTGAAATATGTTATGTGTAGCAGATTTACGTTTCTCCAGGAAAAAAATGTTGTCTCTACCAAGACAAAGATAGCCGAAATCGCAAAATGTTGCAACAGGGTGGTAGCAAACTGACTGAAACAAATATGCCGTCTCCGTAGCATAACTAATCTGGTTCGGGGTTTTTTAACTATTTCGGATACCGGCATCGCTAGAGTTGGTTGCTGAAAAATCTCCGAAAAACCCACGTCCGGCTTCGACCTACTTGGGGCTCATCAGTTAGGTGCAGTCTCCGAGCTTCTGACAAATTTATGCTCTACGTGAACCCAGATTGAATGAAATTACCAAGATACACTCATTTGCATACTAATTCGGTTTTGACGGAATACTACTCATAAGGTTGCTGAAAACTCTTGGAACATCATAAACGAGAGATTCTGCTAGGTTTCAGGTGAGCCTCCCCTCGGAACCAAACCGGTATGCAAATGGGTGTGTTTCGCTAATTACGGTACTTCGTTGATTCCTTGTCTAACTCTTACTTCGACGATCACCGGAATTTACTTTTATAGGGCTCTCAGAATTCACCTGAACCCAGAAACAAGCCTCACTCTTTCAGTTTCCTAACGGGCAAAAATATCCCCAGGATTTTGTCAACCTACTTACAATGCAACTTAAGTAAACCTGTCGGCAGTAGCGCTGACAAGCCGAAGACCAGATTTCGAGTAAACGTTATTTCGACCTGTCTAGAGAGATTCAATGTTGACAGTAAACAGGGAGCCAGCATTCCTCGATTTCACGATTGGCGCAAATCACTGTCGATCCACATGTTTTCCGTATAATTGCACGAAGCACTAATTCTGATCTTGAAGATTAATTAAGGCGAACAGACGACGGGCAAAAGCTACTAAGAACATGGCTTCCCCACTTGACTGTTGTTCTAGTCTGAAACAGACATAACCAGCGAGATTCCACAGCTGATGCTCGGGCTTTTCAAAATATCATCGCGCATTTCCAGATATTTGACACAAAGTATTGTGAAAAAGGTCAGAGTGGCTGTAATTTTGGATCCCGAACTGAACTTGAACTGTGACAAACACTGTCCGATGAGCAGATCAAGGATTCTTAACAAAAGCAGCAGAATATAGAACAATTCCTCTAAATCACTGGCCACTTCACCTAGTTTTGCTTTTATAGGGAAATAAAGAGAAAAAATTCCCATGGTGTACAGTCGGAAAACAAATAGAGTCAAAAACACCTCCTCGGAGCTGGACGACGTTATACCCTAACCTCTTTGGACTGTGTAGATTTTCTTGAACTACGTTTTAGTCGTCGATGTTTTGCCAATGCCAATGGAATCGCTTTTGTTTACTAAAACCTTATGAGTAGTGCATTAGGCCTAGTCATTGGGACCAAATATTGTGCGAGTGATAGACATTATTGTTGTTGTCACAGTCGTGTAATCATGAAAAGGTGGGAATTCTAGCGGGATGAGTTGCTAAAGCGTCGTGAGTAATACGAGGAAGACTATCTCAGATGGGTCACAGAAAGGCTGGAAGTATTTTCGCCTGGAATTTTTCGCTTTTTAGCTTCGAATCCGGTATAGTCCTTTACTATTCCCATGACGATCATCGTGTTCCGTTCTTATGTTTTTTTTTCAGGCAGGTCGAAACCCTGAACTCACTCATGCTGCTGATGGTGACAGTGGCGTGTCTTGTCTCTAACCAACATCAGGGGACATTCTGCGTTGCTGGCCTGTCGCTTCCACGGAAAACAGACCTTTCAGGCTCGTCTGGTGTTTTATTTATTAAGTGCACCAACCGTCACACAAGTACAGGCCACAGTAGCAAAGGTGAGGCCAAATTCGTATCTTTTTTCCTCGAACACAATAAGCATCGACGCTGGTAAACAGCGGAGTTACGTTAGATAACACAGGAGGTTCTGATATCGTTGATGCACCCATAAAATCCAAGCGATGTAATTCCGGAGGGAATTAATTTTACAGGGATCTCCTGGCTCTTTCCCCAAGTAGCCTCAAAATTGAGGAATCAACCGCGTTTGCAAATTAGGTATCCAAGTTGGTAATTTGTTGAAAGGCGGGCAAGGAAGAAGTACCCACTCAACTGCGCACTGATGATGTCTCCTCGTATGGTGGCGAAACGTTTGCAAGCCAATTGCCAAGCTCGTCGAACAGATCGACAGCCACCTGATCAACAACCAATAGGTATCCAAGTTTACATGCACATGTCTTGGAGGGCCTCAATCCCGCTACCTCTCAATTACCGGGGGAGCACTCCAACAAATGAACCACCACAAAGTCGTACGTGTACATTTGAACTCCACGTTGAGACGCCACACTTCTGTTCAACGAATTAACGGTTGATGCTTCTCAGTAAGTTTCGTGATCCCTTTGTGTCTCTTCGGAGGGAAACATCAGCAATACAAATGAGACTACGCTCTCCATTAAACTGCAGTGAAGGATATAAAAATCACATGAAAAAAAACACTATCAAGCATTTCTGCCTGAGTACGGCAAGTTACATTTAACACCCAATCGAACGCTTATCTTGTTAATTCGTGTTTGGGACCATTGGAATTCTGGCACAAATGTTTTCTCCCGTATTTAAACGGGATTACGGGAAGCCTTTCTTGCCCATTCCGATGGTGCTCTCGGGAAAAATCATTCAGCTGTAGCACCCTTTTGGTGCCTAGCTTCCATGCCACACGAAGGGGGCACGAGGACTGGGATACTCACAGATTGCCCAAGCCTATACAGAGGAAGTCGAGAGGCAGAGGTCGGGTTCGAACCATGAACCTTCCGGTCAGTAAACTCGCGCTCTAACCACTTGGGCCATCTTGCCCCAGAAAGGCATATTGATATTTCCTTTACTGAGGAATAATCTAAACTGTCAGACCAAGGCTGGAGCTGAACGAATCAAAAGTGCGCTAGGCAAGGGGTAGAGAGGCCAACCATACAGTTTCTGAAAATAGCCCGCCTAGCAATTTAGACGCCTGTCTTTATTTTTTATTAGGCTTATATCCATCAGATTTCCGATACTAGTATTGATTGACTCACGTCCGGAAGGCTTTCGTGGAACCCAGTTGCAGTTAATTTTTTTTAGATTTTCTGAATCCAGCATAGTTCCCTGTCCACACAGGCTGATGTCAACAAGCGACGGCCGATCTGGCATGAACGTGCTAATGGGAGGTTTGTGGACTGAGATACCGCCAGGGTGCTCAAACTTAGAAAGAATGGCAATACGGATCCTCAACCAAAGTCTGTGACCCAATTTCCTAATTGCAAGACAGCGATGGTCAGCATGAAACTATTCGGATAGACTGAATCCTAAAGAACAATATACCACAACTGTTCTAACCTACGACCTAGAATTCCAGGAAACTGTGGTTGTCAGACTGTCGGTTGATCGTTCCGATAGAGGAGACCCTAAGTATTTTGAATATGCGTCCCCCGGTACAGCTCAATGAGCTGCTGGGGAGGTAATCATTCCTGGCGAGATCATACGGCGTGGACATTGTTGCTTGGTATCTTCGGATGGCTAAGACATATCACAGGAACTCCTCGTAGCCAACACCATTCGGCCAGCGGCGCTGTGTTTTGTCTGTTGATCTGTAATTTCAAGCTGAGAAGCGTAACAATATATATACACTTTTGGTTCCGTCACCTAGATCAACAGTCCACAGACTGGCACTGTTGTGGAATATAGGTAGCTCGGATGCGCTGCTTGGGTGTTGTTCAGTTTGCCGAGATTGGCAGTTGGATTGCAAATGTTTCACCACCGATTGAGGTAACATCGTCAGTGTGTGGGGCTCCGAGTGTCTGCGTATAGGCACTCCTCGCCTCTGACACGAAGGTGTCGCTTGGTGATTTGATGGATGCAAATTTGAGGCAGCCCCTTCTCCGACACCAAACACAGTGGAATGATATCCATTTCAGGATTTCCCCGTTGAACTTTCCATTGAACTTCTGAGGAGGGTAAGAGTAGCAGCACGAGTGGCTCCCCGTAAGCTATAAGCGAAGTCGTGTGAGCTGTAAGGATATTCGCTACATGTCGTCAACAGCCACTCGGGTGATAAACGGAGCGTTCGTGACAAATGCTCGCCGGGGTTCCACCACATGTTTACGTCCGATAAATGCAGAACCTGTTTATCACCCAACTGATATCTGTCATCGTTCCTTCGAGAGACTAATTTATTCCTTTCTCCGTTTTGTCCAAACAATAACAACTCGGAATCTGGAAGTAGTATCTCTTACCTTTTGTGCAATGGATTTGATTTTTTCCCGTTGTTGTATGAAACCTCATTAGCTCAGCAAAATAAAATTGTGCTCAATTCCTCGGTCCAAATCTCCCTGGTTTGGAATGTTCTTTTTTCTTCAGCCTAAATACAGACAGCTATTATGTTTTGTACATCCCAGAGAGGAAGTACCATGATGAGTTTTGTAATTATCCGAGATCAGTAGTACCGATCACTAACTTCATTACCCGAAATCCAAATCTGATTTGCGGCCAACTAAATGATGAAACTGAACGGCTTCAGGAATCACGGCTTCAAAAAGTTCATTCTCGCCGAATGAACTTTAACCGAACGTAATTCGCCCTCAAGGAGATGGGTTATGTAGGCCTGGGGTAGAGGCGAAGACAGGTCTTGCGCATATTCTCCATCCCACGCCCCAGAAATATATATATATATATATATTCTTTTAGTAGTGGCGTATTTTGCAAGCATGAACAGGTTCTTCCGCTTCCTGAAAATAGCTGAATAAATTTCAGTTGCTCACGCGTGTTTTATGTCTAATTCGACACTTTTATCAGAGCAAAATAAATATTGTGCTTTCCATCGAGATTCCCTCTTGCGAATGAAACCGGTTCGCGCTGAGAAGGCAAGGAGCAGTAAACCAGTCTTGATAAACTCTAGGGAGATCATTACCTTCTGGTTGAGAATTAAGCACAATCTAGCGAAATACACTCATTTGCA